GAGCTCCAGAGTACGAGCATGTAACTTCACTGCTCCCTTTGTTGAGAGCTCCAGAGTACGAGCATGTAACTTCACTGCTCCCTTTGTTGAGAGCTCCAGAGTACGAGCATGTAACTTCACTGCTCCCTTTGTTGAGAGCTCCAGAGTACGAGCATGTTACTTCACTGCTCCCTTTGTTGAGAGCTCCAGAGTACGAGCATGTAACTTCACTGCTCCCTTTGTTGAGAGCTCCAGAGTACGAGCATGTAACTTCACTGCTCCCTTTGTTGAGAGCTCCAGAGTACGAGCATGTAACTTCACTGCTCCCTTTGTTGAGAGCTCCAGAGTACGAGCATGTAACTTCACTGCTCCCTTTGTTGAGAGCTCCAGAGTACGAGCATGTTACTTCACTGCTCCCTTTGTTGAGAGCTCCAGAGTACGAGCATGTAACTTCACTGCTCCCTTTGTTGAGAGCTCCAGAGTACGAGCATGTTACTTCACTGCTCCCTTTGTTGAGAGCTCCAGAGTACGAGCATGTCACTTCACTGCTCCCTTTGTTGAGAGCTCCAGAGTACGAGCATGTTACTTCACTGCTCCCTTTGTTGAGAGCTCCAGAGTACGAGCATGTAACTTCACTGCTCCCTTTGTTGAGAGCTCCAGAGTACGAGCATGTTACTTCACTGCTCCCTTTGTTGAGAGCTCCAGAGTACGAGCATGTCACTTCACTGCTCCCTTTGTTGAGAGCTCCAGAGTACGAGCATGTCACTTCACTGCTCCCTTTGTTGAGAGCTCCAGAGTACGAGCATGTAACTTCACTGCTCCCTTTGTTGAGAGCTCCAGAGTACGAGCATGTAACTTCACTGCTCCCTTTGTTGAGAGCTCCAGAGTACGAGCATGTAACTTCACTGCTCCCTTTGTTGAGAGCTCCAGAGTACGAGCATGTAACTTCACTGCTCCCTTTGTTGAGAGCTCCAGAGTACGAGCATGTAACTTCACTGCTCCCTTTGTTGAGAGCTCCAGAGTACGAGCATGTAACTTCACTGCTCCCTTTGTTGAGAGCTCCAGAGTACGAGCATGTAACTTCCACTATGGTTCCGGACAATACTGGGAACTGTCTTGTCGTTTCGATCGTACCCGTCCACTCAGCCTTTAGTCCACTGCAACTATCTGCATAGTGATGTAAGGTTAAATGATTTTTTATTCGCATTATTGATGAAACTTATGGATTTACCGTCCACCTAAAATTAGGAAATAACAAGGAAACTGCAATTATTAATGGATTGTGATCATAAACCACTTTTAATTAATTAGTAACGATACTTAAAACCAATTGTGAGCGACATTATTATGCAGCACGATTGAAATGATCAAAAGTAGTTATTTAGACACAGTGTCAGAACTCAGAGGGGAACATACTTTGGTTCTGATTAAATATGACACCTAATCTGCCAAACTCACCAAAACGTACCAAAAAACGTACGTAATACTTGAAACCCTCGAAATCCCATTATCAGTGTTCAGTATGCTAGCAATAGTGAAAATACATATATATACTGATATTGGCCTGGTTAAAAATACAAGCTGTTAATTTACTTGGTCCATAGTAATCTGACGCAGTGTCGGAGGAGAAACTTATTTTTGTCACATTTTTACCCCAGATGTTTCTCCATCTACGCCAATCACACGTTGTGTCTGAGAGCAGAGTGTTGAGCACCTCCACCTCGTTACAGTGTATCACAAGCCTGATATCTGCACTTTTGGTGAGGGTGATACGCCATATCTTGTCTGCATCACTGGGAGGTGTTATGGAGAAGTTAGACCAGGAAGGCTTGCACCAGTCGAGTTTGTATTTTAGAGTTTCGCCGAAGTTGATCCATACTTTTCCTGCATTGTACTTCCAAGCAGAGTAGAAGGACACTGTCAGGTTATCTAGACTCTGCAACTCACTGTTGGTTTTAACTTGTAAAGGTACTGAGGCCAGGTCCCATTCTATGTACGCATCGTCATCAGGTTGCACTGGTAACCAACCTGTGTGGTATTAATAAGTGACGTCACGTCTGGTATTAAGTGACGTCACGTCTGGTATTAAGTGACGTCACGTCTGGTATTAAGTGACGTCACGTCTGGTATTAAGTGACGTCACGTCTGGTATTAAGTGACGTCACGTCTGGTATTAAGTGACGTCACGTGAACTGAGAGAAATGAATCTCATCAGTGTGAATTTTGTGATAGCACTCCTCCGTCAATCAATGTAATACAAGGTGGTCCTATATTTTGATTTACGGTATAAAAACACGACAGTGAAGCTGAAGACTCCCTTGACAATAATTCAATTATGCCCATTATATTTATACAATCAATTTGTGCTGTTAGAGTCAGTATATAAACTGAGTCTAACAGCATACAAACAGATTAATCAGCTTCAGACTTAAGATTCGTAATATAAAGATGCTAATAACTGGTTGTTACTTTCACCCAGCTCGGGTTCAGTCTAGTGCATTCTGGTGGAGTGTTATAGCTTAATTCAAACAATCTCAATCAGATATCGTTTTATATCAAATTTAACCCAAGCACGTACCAACTCAATAACAGATCAATTTGGGAATCTTACCTTTGGTCCCAAAACATGACTTATAAGCTGTAAACCAGCCCGACCGGGAACCAATGTCCGTGTACTTTAATCTATAACACAGCCTCCTGGTCCAATGAGCTGGGCTTATAAGTACTGCTAGACAAAGTTCCTCTTCATTACACCAACTTATACAATCGTCTTTGTTGATCAGGTTTTTCTGTCCAATTCTGTTAGAGTCTCCTAGTCCTATGTTACCGGTGTTATTATGCCAGCAACCTGACATTACTAAGGTAAGTAACATTTTTCACAACGATAAACCCCCCTTTTGAGTCTTGGTATTTCGTTAAATTTAATAAGCGACCATCATTCATTACGAAAAATTGAAATATGTATTCTTGATTCAAAGTCATTCAAAACTAGAAATTAGGGTTAAAAATGAAATGTAAGATCTTACTCATACTTTGTGTTGCAGAGTGCAGTAAGTACGCTATGAAAACGATAACAAGCTTCATGGTATAACGCTGAACATTTTTACCTGGAAATATGACAAAAACTTTTGATTGATGTTTAAAGATCTCAGAGGACTTAGAAGACTTTGAAGACGTTCAACAGAAATTAATAAATTTTGAATCCAGAGCCCAGACACTAGAAATAGAATAACGTTTGATCATTTTTCTACAACACCTGTTGAATAAAGTTGTTACTAACCATTAACGCTGTTCAAGATTTGAGAGCGAGAAAAAGAAACTCCGCTGAATACTGCACTGATATACGATAAAACTAAAAGGACCGATTTGATCTTTGCGTGTCATTAGCGCCCATCGCCTTGCTCGATCCTGGTAAAGCAGATCACCAATTTTGAAGCCTGTAGTCTTTTATTCAACCTGAGATGCATAGAAATATCACGGCGCCTTACGAAAATTTCATTGTTCTGAGATAACTAATGCACGATTAGGTTCGTGTGTGAGAGAATCAGGTCTCGTCTTCTAGTGCTGCAGATTTGAATATTTATCGAGAGAATCGGGTCACGTCTTCTAGTGCTGCAGATTTGAATATTTATCGAGAGAATCGGGTCACGTCTTCTAGTGCTGCAGATTTGAATATTTATTGTTACTAGAAAACCGGCCGAGAGCTTTGTAGTACACGGCATGTAATAAAGATGGCAGATCGTGAATGGCAGCTATCTTACTTATAGGCCATTGAAATTGTATGATACCATGCTCGCAATAAACTTATAAGCATTGCCCAACATACCTAAGAATCTAAGATAAAGAGCTCTGGAGTTATTTCTTACGATGAGACGAAAAGTTTGGTTTGATTATTACTGATTAAGAAACAATGAAAACTAACTCGTTACTTTATATTTGTGTCCAAAAAAGGTTTATTGACACTCCATAAAGATATAAATAAACGGTAACAACTCATATTTATTATCTATCTGTAGAAAACAACATAAAAACCGTTCTTTACAATAATAGACCGTGATCTAATTTAAACTACAGTTACAGCTCTATCGTAGTATTGTAAAACTTCTATTTTAATTTGGCTCTTTTGGAAAAAATTAGTTTAGTTTTACAACTTACGAATATAATAGACTATAGAAATCTTATCGGTATCAAATAAATAATTAGACAGACTCAATTAATACATTTCCAGAATGAGGGGAAAATTGAACCGATTTTTAGATCAATAACAACACGATTACCAATTAATTACAAAACTACAAATCTATTACATTTATCGAGTATTATCAATTATGTAATGGGATGGAAAATTTTTAACCAGGTGTAGCTAGTCCACAGCCCTAGCTCTATAATACGAAGAAATTGTTTCAATTCTAGCTGAAAAGCTCTAATATAATAAATCACAATCTATTATAGAAATTAGGAATTCACCGACATGACGAAGAACCAAGTCTGATGTAGCCCATATCAGATGCCACCACAGGATCGGTTACTATAGAAGACTCCAGACAATGTCAAAGCAAATCGGTATCACGGGGTGAGGTGTTGTTTTCACTAATAACAGTTTTCTTTAGTAGTGGAACAGCAATACTAAGGTAATGGGACTACTGCGGTAGTCCCATTACCTTAGTATTGCTGTTCCACTACTAAAGAAATACTCCCGATAACACTCAACCTCTGCCTGATCCAGAGGATATCACCATTTTACCTTCACACAGACATCGAACGCTGTAAGAAGATGACGATCAGACCTCATTAATAACAGTTTTCACTCAGTATCATAATTTATATTTAATTTATATACTGTTCTAATGGATTTCACAACTTTTAATTCTTTAGAAGAAAATTGACATAACCGTGTATTGCGCTGGCAATACCAATTAATTACAAGAACACGTTTTTAAGATTGCATGTAACACACTAATAAAGTTAAACCATAGAATTTTAACCATTTAATTTATCAATTAAACGACTACAAAACTGTGCTATCTTGTGTCCCTTCCACTATTACTGAAAGTTTTACCACCACTAACTAAAAAAGCAGCCTCTCTCTTCAGATCAATAGCATACTGAATGTCCTGACTGATCTTGAGGCTGGTTTTCTGAGAGTTACAGTTGAGTTTAGGACAAGAGTCAGGAGCCATATTAAAAACACCTGGTGGAGGCAGAGTATCGTAGATCTGTATAGCTAGGTTATGTTCTGTAGTTCCACCGTTATTCCGGGGAGCATACACGCACTGTCCTATCGAGTCTAACATGATCTCCTTCACAACCTTGTTTCCAGATTCTCTCTCGATAAGTCTGACTCGCTCACTGGACACCAGGATCTTGAGGCGGGTGTTCACCACACACCGGGAAATGAACTGTTCCTCACGTGACTTGCGGTTCAGTTTCCACAGAGTAGCCATGCCTTGTGCTGTGTCTATGGAGAATGTTGCCAGGATCTCTCCACTGCAACATCGAGGCAGCCGTATTCTTTTTATCTCACCTGAGAAGAAGAAGAATATCGTTATGTTTCTTCCTGTTTATTGTAATTGTAAAACAAAACGTGTTAACACCAAATTATGGTTAGACTGTTTGGTTGCTGAGTAGAAATAAACTTACCGATACTGTGACTAGATCGAGTACTCTGCGTAATGGCCAGTGTAGTCCCTGAGGCAAAGTCGAGTAAACCAGCAGCTGGTTTAGCAACAGTTCCAATGAGACCTTTAGCTAGTCCGGTCACTGCCCCCGTCACTCCGTCTTGGTTAATCCCTGTCACTATAGAACTGGGAATGCTGGTAAGCCCTCCGATAAGTCCACTTCTTAACCCCTGCCATCCTGCTCTCAGACTTGCACTTGAACTCTGGTATCTGTCGGGAACAAGATCTGTTATTTGGTTAATTCGGAGAAATGAGAATTTGGTTTGCTTCCACAATCGACTGCATTAATAAAATATAAATATGATACAAAAAGGGAATTGGAAAGAAAAAAAGTAGAGAAAAGAGATTGCATCAGAATAGGAAAGAGCACACGAGAAGACAAAGAGACGCACAAAAAAACAAAAATAAGAAAACAGTCTCCTACCTGGAAGCTCTAAGTCTGTCTCTGTCAGCTCTGAAAGCATCATCTCCACTAACATACGTTAAGACAGTACTAGCAGTTGAACTGAGTTTACTGGCGGTATCTGACATGCCACCATCCAGCCCCACTGAGAGTCCACTCAGTAGATCGTTAAACAGCCCTCCCATGTTACCTGGTGTGAAGTGAGGGTGAAAGGTTGTTAAAGTTTACGTTATCATGGTAGTAACTAGTAGAAACAATGAAATTTGAGGTAAAAGTGATGAAATCAAGTAGAAGGTAAAGTGTCAAACCTGTCATTTCTGAGTTGAGGACTATTTTGAGTTTATGTCCAACTGCGCAGTCCCTGTAGTGTCGTATGATGTTGTCCCTTATAGTACTAGTAGCTGCTATCACATTACTGGTATGGTACTTGTTCAGCTTAAAAGTAACGTCGGAGAAGTTCAGATAAGATCTCATTCCTAATCTTGTGTGGATGTCCTTGAGGTCGTCCTCTAGAACTGGAGCCACGATCAGACTGACATTAACCTGGGTCTGGTGAATTAACATACTCTCAACTAACACGGGATTGTACTCCAACTTCCTCGTACTCAACTTGTACTCCGCTTCTGGATCGTACTTTGGGTCGTCTTTATTTACATCCCCAGCCATCTCAAAAAACTGTATGAGTTTCAGAAGTAAGACCTCGTCGAGCTGGGAGCTGAAGTTTGCGAACAGAGCCTGGACCTCAGGGTACACGACTAACCTGCCATCGCTCCTAACCTCCCTGATCATCCTGAAGTGTACTGTATGTTCTCCATCCCTCATTACCGGGTAGATAACAACAGGAACCAGTGCCTCCCTACACTGATTATCAGCCTGGAATCCTAGCAGATCAAAAACAACAGTAGTCTTGTTACCCGCCAGCTCGGCGTCTAAAGACAGCCCAGTCATGCTGAGATACAATATCTCCTCAGGGAGGTGGTTGATAATAGAGAGGCCTACACCTCCCAGTAACTTTACTTGCAGCTGAAAGGGTTTGGTAACATCCTCCTTTTTAGAGGTGGAGTCCGTGTAGACAGTTTGTTCTCCTGCCACAGCGTCCAGTAGCTTGATAACCACCGTGGGACCGTCTAGAGAGGTGGTCATCAGCACGGCTCCACAACCTGGTCGGCGCTTGTGGAAGTAGATGTGAGGAGGGTTCTTGCTGACCATGTCTAGTACAGCATCAGATCCGTCATGTAGTAGACCGTTGCGAGGTGAAACAGCTAGCCCTGACAGCTTGCAGGTTAGATAGCTGTTATCCCGGAACCTCCAGCACTGTGTTTGGTGCCTGTTCTCGTCAGGAGGCTTCACGATCAGGCTGGCGTATGTGCCAGGGTTGGGAGCTCTGCCTGGTATGTCCAGGAATAACTTGGTCTTGAAGTGCATGAGCTGACCTGACTCCTTAACCTGCCACAGCTGACTAAGTGAGTGCGGGTTGTACTGCTTAACAAGCACCTGAACCCCCTGTGGAACGTCCAGCACGAGTCTGCTGCTGGAGCTGGCTAGTTTCTCGTCCACCCTGATAGCTCTAAATCCGGAACTGGAGAGCTGGTTGAGGGGGATGTCCCTCATAGCTGGGGCACCTCCCTTCCAGGTGTCGGAGAGTGTCAGGTAAACTGCGTTCTCGTAGACTAGTGCAGAGAGGTGGGTGTAGGGGGTGGGTGTTATCATCACCTTCATAGGCTCACCTCCCGTCACCTTTAGATCTAGTTCGTGGGGTTTCAAGACGGGCTCATCCCAGTGATAAGGGCACCAGCTACCAGGTTGTAATGTGGACATGTCTGACCGACTCTCTGATTGTCTGTACTCCACGCTTACCAGACTGTGGTTTTCTATTCTGCAAAAGTATTTCCTTGCGTTTGAATTGAAATAAAGACGATCCTGTGTTTAAAATAACTGGATCTTAACTCTAATGATACGTTCTTATGCAACCGAAGCTTTCGCTTCTTCAAACTATTTCTGATAAAATCAATTCCTTACCGGTAAGGGGTAGGGAGATCATTGAAGTCGGAGAATACGACATGATAAGAGCTCCGCTGCAACACCACAGTGCACTGGAGGAATATCTTCCTCCCTCCGGTCCCTCTCATAGATACAACACTGCTTTGTGGGTTGTTTATACAGAATCCACCCGACCACTCACAGTCTACCACGTCAGGAATACATATTGATAGTAGCTGAGGGGGTGAGTGGTAACAAGTGGTAACTAGTGGTAACTAGTGGTAACTAGTGGTAACTAGTGGTAACTAGTGGTAACTAGTGGTAACTAAGATTATACCACAAAACAGGAATAGTTAATTATTTTTAAAAGTTTAGGCAAAAATCTTAAATAATGACCGACCTGATCTAGATCGTTACGAGGCCAGGAGAAGGGCATGATAGAGTTTGGAGCAGCCTCAGTAACTGGCTCTTTGTCTGGAGTCCAGTCTGAGGATTCAGCCCTGGGGGATTGTGGACTAGATATTGGGGGCGACAAAAGTGATAAAGCACTTTAGAGGACCAATTGTAAAGAGTCAAATGTTCAATTCTAAACAGGATATCATCTTGTGGTATATAAGGATTAAGGACTAACTCAGCACAAGAAAATAGTTCTTAAAGCGATGGTTGTCATTTGGGCACCCGAAAAAAAATTGCAAATTTTTAGAGTTAGCTTGTAGCCGATACAACATCCTACAAGTAGGTTAAATTTAGAATTCCGCCACCCCTCCCTGTAGCACGTAAATAGACCCGGAGTAACACGCACGCGAGAGCGGTATTACGAAATGAGGAGGCATCGATTTCACTGGAGTCGGGCCAACACATACTTCACAACACAATACTACGGCTGGAAGCGGTGAATAATAATTGCATTTCATTACTGTAAACAAGCATGCCAATACGGAACATTATATCAGAAATTTAAGAAAAAGAAATGTCAATACTTTTTTTCAGGAAAAGTACATTTTCCTATTGTTCTGGTACTGTTATTGACAACGTAATTACTAATTTGATAATACAATGTAATATTACAATGTCTAGGGCAACGATTGCCCATCTTTCGACTTGAGCGAAACGTAGCCTGTGTAGGGTTCTCCATTTTCATTCGGAAACTTTGCCCTGATTTGGCTGACAACACATGCAGGCAAAATATACCTCACATTCCTATCGAAATCTCGACATGATAGCATATTGATAAAGGTTCTATATGCCATGAAGCGTAGTTCCTTTTGGTTCAACTTCTTCTTGAGAAACCTATCTCTTTTATCAGGGTCTGTAATGTTCATAGAATACATGTATCTACTGTAAACTAGTCCATCCTCACTGACGACAAGTTCTTTAAACATCCCAACCTGGCTGATGCACCGATGCTCTCCTCGATGCGCAGTAATGAAATGCGATTCGTTGCAGCAAACGTGCTCCTTCTCTGTGTCCATCAGCTTGCATTCCCCGCATGAACACCACTCTTCAACGGGACGATGAAGCCTGTCTTGATTTATGTTAGCGTACAGAGAGTTGTCAGACTCGGGTAGCTCCAGGTCCTCGTCACTTTCATATGCTGGAGGGTCGACCCATTCGTTATCACTTGGGTGATCTGAACCCGGCTGTAATTCTGGATAAAAATGTCGATAATCCTCTTTTGTGGTCTTTTGAAGACGACATCCACGTTCCCTCGTGTACGAGTTTGCCTGAGCATACGTATTTTATCGTCACCGAAAGGCACACGGTATAGCTGTCCAAGACCTTAGCACTACTCCCACATTCTGGACACCATTTGAACAATTGAAGTAGTTGGTTCACGGAGACGATCGCCCACCAAAAATCAGTTAAGATTTTCCTCTTATCTTTTTTCTTCCGGGGTCCAGATGGCTTGATTCGTGGACGGTGGGAGGAAGGGGGGCAGTAGTCAGAGTCAGAGTCAGATTCAGAAGTTTCAAAGTCAGAATCGGAGTCTGATAGTGATGAGCTATTTCCATCATCAGGAAGCCAATGCATATCATCTTCACTATCAATATTATCATGTTCAGTTGGAGCATCGTTCAAATTAGGATCCTGATCCACCGTGAGGATTTCCGAAGTATCCTGGCTGGGAGCTTCGTTTTCATTTTCCGCAAAATCTTCACTACTGTTTGCCGCAGGCACTGTGTAGGGATACGCACTGGTGTCTATAGACGATCTAAACTCGTGCATTTCCTTCAGCACCCGCCGATTTATTCGTGCTCTCTTGCTCGGAATATCGTCTTGCTCCGAAAGGACTGCACCCCCAATGCGTCCCTTTCTGGGTGGGTATTGGGAACAGCGTCTTCCCGAAGTCTTAGCTTCATACGTTTTCTGTAGCCAGTTGTCTTCATGAAGTTAAAATCACCAAAATTATAATCTGAATCACTGAAGTGGTCCGAACACACCTTGTAAGTTTTCATTTTGGTCTTCGAAACATGTTCAGGTTGTCGATTTATCCTCAGGTCCCATCTCTTTCTCATTTTGTCGTCTGTGGGAACGCAGTGAAATATCAAAAACTGTCGTCCAGGCCGCTTACTGTTCTGACCACTTCTGTGTGTACAACCCCCTACCACACATGAAGAAGGCATCTTGGAGTCCGGATTCGTGTAGAAGTTATACTTGTAGCTGCTAACAACCTTATATTTCCATAGGAACCACTGTACTGCAAGAATATTTTTTGGATGACAGGTTATCGAATAATAATGCGTATTCTGATACGATATTATTTATAGAAGGTACACCGCGTTCAAAAGACTGTCGATCTCACGAATTTTACCACCCGGTATATTCAAACTTCGATGCTCGGGCATGGCACAGTAGCTCGGTTGAACGATGGATGTTTTGCCATGCTGTAGGTACTTTTTACACGGTACCACATCAAAAGTACGGTAGATATTGTTAATGTTAACACGGCAAGTTGTATGTACAAAGAAAATACGGTAGATACTGTTAACCTTGAAGTTGACCCGATATTACATTGAAAAAGCACGAAAGAAAACAGTCCTGCTGTGAGAAAACTCGTAAACTAATACAGTAGTCACTACAATTGAAAAGCAAATGCCTAGTTTCTGATTTATCCGCCAAAAAATAGAAAGAAAACATAACGATGGTTTATGCCAATTATTACCGTTTACCGCTTATTGGTTACTGGAGAAATGAACAGAAAATCGTCTCTACAGTACACTCAGGTCAAAACCCGGAACAAAACAAACAACCACAACTGGAGATATGCGATGATTTAGTAATCTGTTTACACTGTTTATACACGTTAAGTGATTGCCCCCGGCCAGACATAACCTCTCCATGCCTCCTCATTGCGTGGCTTTGAAATCGATACGGAGCGCTCTAACTCGGTGTGTGAACTATTTTGGGACCTCTGTGCTGGTGGGAATTGAGAAGCATGTTGTAACAGGGCGTATAAGCGGTCATGAACGTAAATTAAAATAAATCGATTTTAAATGATGACGATCGCTGGCTATAAGAGGCTTGGTGACTTTTCTACTATTTCGAGGTGTTTGTTCGTGGGAAATGGGAATATATTATTAAGATGTGTAACCCCCCCGGCCTAATTTAGTATTGATATCATTACTTATAAGGAAAATCATAATAATTTCGATCTAAGTAAACAATTATTCAGTAAAGAAGTGAGACCTGAACATTAAAAAGGGGGAATGGGGATTATTTCTTGAGGATTTTAATGAGGAAATTGTATGCAGGGCTAAAAGCGTGGTCACACACATTGATGTTATTATCGTTATAGTTTAACGTTGATAGTAGAGGCTGTGTTTCCTGGTGCGCTCACTACTCTTTACACCATCTTGGTCCATAGCTCATGTTTAGAAACTTGTGTGAGTATCATTAGGCCTGACATCACAGCTCAACGGTACTCACAGAGGACGCAGTACGGGGTGGTGGTTTTCCGGAGCAATAGCTCACAGCTCATTGCCGCGATCTGAGAGCCAACCAGATCCTCGTATGAGGTAGGTTACCTAATATGAGGATTCTGGTTGGCTCTCAGATAAAGATAACTCGGGTAACGATCTGGGAAAGTTCACGATTGGCGGCCACTCTAAACTAATGGTGTGGAAAATGTGGCCCTTATATTATGTACTTGAAGATCTCTGTTGCAACTCCTTGTGGCCCTGGGCTTAAAGTATTTTAAACCTATCATTGTTATAGATGTGTAACCCCCTAATTTAGTATTGATACCATTACTTATTATAAGAAAAATCATAATAATTTCGATCTAAGTAAACAATTATTCAGTAAAGAAGTGAGACCTGAACAATGAACATTAAAAAGGGGGAATGGGGATTATTTATTGGGGATTTTAATGATGAAAATTGTATGCAGGGCTAAAAGCGTGGTCACACACATTTATTTTATTATCGTTATAGTTTAAAATTGATAGTACAGGCTGTGTTTCCTGGTGCGCTCACTACTCTTTACACCATCTTGGTCCATAGCTCATGTTAAGAAACTTCAGTGAGTATCATTAGGCCTGACATCACAGCTCAACGGTACTCACAGAGGACGCAGTACGGGGTGGTGGTTTTCCGGAGCAATAGCTCACAGCTCATTGCCACGATCTGAGAGCCAACCAGATCCTCGTACGAGGTAGGTTACCTAATATGAGGATTCTGGTTGGCTCTCAGATAAAGATAACTCGGGTAATGATCTGGGAAAGTTCACGATTGGCGGCCACTCTAAACTAATGGTGTGCCACATGTGGCCCTTATATTATGTACTTGAAGATCTCTGTTGCAACTCCTTGTGGCCCTGGGCTTAAAGTATTTTAAACATATCATTGTTGTTGAGAGATGACGTGGTCACTGGTCATATGTAATATGTCATTTGTCACCGGTCATATGATTCACATACTATAGTTCGACACGTACTCTCCTTCGACAACTAAAGTTCGATAGAAATCACCCCTGTCGAACTAAAGTCCAGGTACCGTACTCTAGTTCGACATAGTCGAAGTTTAGGACTTGTTGAACTATCCGTCTTACCAATCCTTATTCCTTGCTTTTACAGAACTATAATCTTAGCCAACGATCTACTGCAAATCTTATGTTTTCTCTCAGTATCTATACCAGCATCCTGTATATTATGTGATTTAGTCCCCCTGTCTTATGCCAGAGGGAGCTGTAACAATTTAGTTCAGTGTAAGCACGAAACGGCTTTAATGTCTACATAGCTGGTACTTGTTATTCTGACTTGCCATCCATTCTTTGGGAAAGGTCCGCCCTAATGTCATAGGATGGGTATACGACAGTACGGGGTGGTGCTAAAGGCCAATTCAGCGCAGCTTTCAGCGCAATCACATGACACTCATATCACTAGTCATCATTTTACGGGGCCATAGCTCACGATCTGAGAGCCGACCAGGATCTTCATAGACAAGAATCGGGGAAAGCTCACGATTTGCAGCTACTCTATGCTACGTTTTCATAGACTTCTCCGCCATCCTAGACCTCTTTTAAACCTATCATTGTTGTTGTCGAAGAGACAGATGGTCATTGGTAATGGCTAATGTCACTGGCCTTGTCAGTTGTCACTGGTCACTGGCCAAATAACTCTTTAACGAACAGACTTGACAATAACGCGAAGCAAGTGGTGAGTATCAGCTGCTCTAAGTTATCTGTCAGTATCCATACCGCGACCGGTATCTTGTTTATCCTGTGACTTATTCCTCCTGTCTGATTCCAGAAGGAGCTGTCTGTAGTTAACCTTAAGGTAGAACGACCATCTTGCGATCTTTGATTCATAATTGTCGTCGGTCATTTTGGTATTCGTGCCATCTTTCAACTTAACCAATGAAGATATAATTCTCCCCATATCGTTTCAATCAATGAAACATTGTTATCATTAAAAAAAGAAGTTTCAAAATTGTTTAATTTAACCGTCTATGGCCATTCATTTCTTAACTTCCTACCCAGTAAAACCAAACATCACTAATGATATGAAAGGGAGGGGGGCCGGGGGGCGGGGGGGCCAAGGGGAGGGGCCGGGGGACCGCGGGGGGAGGGGTCGAGGGGCCGATGGGGAGGGGCCGAGGGGGAGGGGGCAAGAACGGAAAAATAAACCCTCCCAAAAGTCAGTACTCACATGAGAGTGTGGTTGTTGACTTGGTACCACTGAGCGTAAAGGAGCCGTTGTGAAGAGTGGTTCTCTAGATGGTATCTAGATACTATCCTCACTGTTGTGGTGTTAGAGAACAGACCCGCTCCCACTGAACACATTAGGTGTAAATAATCCCAACGAAGTAAAGGGATTATTTTGCAAATTTATACTATCAGGAACAACAGATTTGTTCATTAGATTAAGTTTTAAGGGCTAGCAAAATCGAAGCAGCGAAGTTAATGGTGCGAAATCTTCAAGACCAAAATGGCATGAATATAAGTAGATGACTTACTTTGTCAGGCCGCATTTGCCCCTGGGCACACTTGAGAGAGACCAGCCCCAGAGGCTTAGCAAGGTCGATACCAGCACTCCAGTGAGGTCTTACCTGGATAGAGTGAGTATTTGAATGATAAAAAACAAAATTAATAGTTAAAAAACTAAACTAAAAAAACTAAATTAATAGTTATCACATACAGATTGGTATAAAAATTCGGCAATTTAGTCTTCCAATTAGTTCAATACAGGCCAAGGCGAATAAATAAAAGATATAGTGTTCAAATGAGATATAGACTGAAAAACAGGTCGTGATACCTTGCGATACTGCTTGCCAATGCGTATGCTCATTGCTCAAGCGTTGAGGATGTGTCTCATTGCTGTAATCAAACATAAGGGGATGAAGACTTCTCGCAGCCTCGTGAGCTTCATACTGACATGCTGCGGGAGATTGGGTTATGGTACCCAATATTATGGTAAAAGAGCATCTTTTATCATCCTTTAAATGATATAAACCGAATAACCAAAAGGCATGGTAAAACATGAATGGCTTACTTCTGTTGAGAGAATACGAGAGGGTAGACAGTAAGGTTGACCACCACAAACTTCACATACAGCACAATCTTCCAGCAGAACTTGCTGACTATCTCACATCTCACGTGTATGGGTAGTTTCCTATCCTTCTCATCGCTTGTCATGAAGGTTTTACGGGAAGTTGAAGTGCCGAGATAAGGGAACTGGAGCTTGTAGAACTGGGGGAAACCGTCTAGTTGGAATGCACAGAAGATGTCTGTAGAGGGGTTTATGTCGTAGAATGAGAGGGATTGGGAGTGCTGGATCACACCACCTGCAAGGCAGTGTGTTAAGTTTTTTGGTTTTTGAGGGGGTGCAATGAATTTCAGTTTTAATCTTTCGTTGGAAATATCTAACGGTCTAGATAATCGGCTGGGAAGTAAAATGGTCAAAAAATATCGAGTTTGGAAAAAGTTTTTGTGTTTTGATCCAATCAGTTGTTTGAATTTCAATTCTTATCTGCTGTAGATAAGCGATGTAAACAAGTTCGACTATGTGATGTTATCTATACTTCTACTGGTACTGACTCTCTGCTTACTGACTACCAATGCCAATAAAGGTTAGTACCCATTATTATTATAGTTGTTAACAGTTCTTACTTTACAACAGTGATATCCAATACAAGGAGGTGTCACAACAAAAACATTTACTCTCAAATTAGCTGCACGCTTAGATTAGTTACTTGATTACAACTAATATTATTAGTTATTAATTATCATAACACTTAATAGGGAAAGTGACTCTGATAGCTACTTGTGACGATGTCCTGGAAGTGTATCTTGATGGAGTTCAACATGAACAACAAGACGGTACCCTTAGAATTTGGTATCGATCGACAGCGTTCCAGACATCAGAAGCATTGAGGGTGATAGCATTGAAAGGTAGTGACAAAAGTATTAATTATCATTGGGGTATGATAGCATCACTACAGAACGAGGAAGGAGAGACAATCTTCGTGACAGACACTAACTGGAAATGCTCATCGGTCGAGGAAGAAGGATGGGAGCTGTCAGGATTTCAAGATAGTTCAGATAACTGGCAGAGTGCTTCTAAGATAGCTGACCACGGTGACGCTCCCTGGTATAATATAGCTGCAATATCACGTGATGCAGACTGGATCTGGGCAGTCGGAGGTACAGCAGGTTCCACAGTTTACTGTCGCGGAGTAGTAAGACCAGGTGAGAAAATACATTTTAGTGGGAGCTGGGATCGTTCTGTTGACTTTTGTTCTGTTGACTGTAGTGAAATTTATCAAGTTGTACACATTGACAATCGGTGGCCGGTGCGGTGGGAAATATTGTTTAAATGTACTTTATTTATTGGCAAAATTCATGAAAAACTTCAGTCTAGTACAGAATTATATTGACATAAACTAGCGTATAAACTATAATGTAAGAATGTAGATAATTTATGTATCATAATTTCAGAATGCACCACTCTCGACTCAACATGGGGAAACGTTCAGACTGAGCCAGTACTGCCAGTTGACCTCGATATAGAGATAAAGTTCACTTGTCTAGCAGACCATATCCACAAGGGTGCCAGCAAGGGAACTTGTCAGAGCGGTGCTGTAGTCCCGACTAACGGACCTCCACCTCAGTGCTCTTCAATAGGTAAGTAACACAACTTTACAAACTTATGGCGTTAGTGCTGAGTTTAATATTGGGGAACTCCCCAATCAATCAATTCGATCATAAATCTATTCAATACAACAAACTGAAAACTGTCCAAGTAAACGGCTAGAAATTCTAGTTTATAAGCGGTAAACTAAAAGTTTGGACAATTTAAAACAATTTTGGGGGAAGAGGTACGGTAAATTGGAGTACGGTAAATTGGGGTCCGTTAAATTGGAGTACGGTAAATTGGGGAATGGTAAATTGGAGCTTTTCGGTAAATTGGGATACAGTAAATTGGGGTACGGTAAATTGGAGTACAGTAACTCAGGGTACGGTAAATCTTTTACTGTATTACTACCTTACCTAGATATTACATATTTCCCCTGTATGAACTTGAAAAAGGTGTAAAATACAGCGAACTGTGCACGATATAAAGAAATCTCTTCTTTCTCACAGTACGATAATATAGAAGTAAGTAGCTGTAATATATTCCGCTTCATTATGTTATGATAGTCATTACTATTACGAATAATTAATAATCTGAAAATTAAATATTTTTTAGATTACTGGGTAAGTTATATTAAAATATTAACACCAGATATAATATTTAATGTCAATAAATGAAGTTAAAAAGTGACAGGGTTTAGAATTACCACGTGACCAAGTTTAATCTAAATCTGGGTTTCAGGTGTGAAACAACTGTAAAGCTGTAAGCTGGTCCGTAAAGAACCACGTAGATTTTAGAGGCACAGCAAGGTCGCAAGGAATAATAATATCCACTGAGTTTGTCGGGTAAGGCACATAACCAACAGCAAAATACACAAGTTGTTTTATAATAATACTACTTTGCTATTACAGTTATCACGATTGCCTATAATATCGAATGATTGAATTGCCCGACCAATCCATTTCTAACAGGACTACTTTTTTCAGAAGATCTAAGAATGGTTCAGTTTAAAGGCCTACACATGACCCTGGTGGTGGAGATAGCCGCTGTAGCTGTTCTCATCAGTGGACAGTCCTCAGCTTTCACCTAACATCGCTAAAAGTAGCCCACAGAGCCCCCCCACCCCCCACAGAGCCCCCCCCCCCCCACAGAGCTCCCCTCCCCCCACAGAGCTCCCCCCCCCCACAGAGCCCCCCCTCCCCCCACAGAGCCCCCCCCCCACAGAGCTCCCCTCCCCCCACAGAGCTCCCCTCCCCCCACAGAGCCCCCCCCACAGAGCCCCCCCCCCCACAGAGCCCCCCCCCACAGAGACCCCCCCTCCCCACAGAGCTCCCCCCCACAGAGCCCCCCCCCCCCCCCCCCACAGAGCTCCCCCCCCCCCCATAGAGCCCCCCTCCCCCACAGAGCCCCCCCCCCCCCCACAGAGTCCTACCTGGACCACACATCTGATACTTACTCAGTCAGCAGCTGACTAAGATAGACTCTAAGAAAAGAACTTTAAACTTGAAGTATGGTCCTGAGCACAGCATTATTTTGTATATCCTGGATTGTGGACAGTACGTCATAAGATTTAACAAAGTATTCTGAATTGTTGGTTGTTTGATTTCGATTTCACAGAATTTGTTGCAAATGATATATACAAAATTGATCGACTTTTGATTTTATTTTGCTCATAAAATATGGTACCTTGGAGGTTCTTCATGGACGGTCGACGGACATTATTAGAGTACTGACAAATAGAGTCGTGCATAACTGTTCCTACTTGCAATAAAGTCCGTCCTAGTAGGGCCTTGAAAGTATTAGGGCTTAATTTGTTTTACTACTTACGTCCCTGAGTTATTATTTTTAAGGTATATTGTGTTGTATTTGATATTTAAATTGTTCGATTTATTCAGTATTTTATGAGAACTGATATTACGTGTCTCATTTCAACCAAGAATGAAATAAATTTCAAGGTATGTTCTTATCTCAGATTAATAAAAAAACAAAAAGCGCACAGAGACTCAAACGTTAAAGACGGATCTGTTTCATCTAATCCTGGACCAGGCAAAAGTCCTGCTCACATTGGGACGTCCGCTCGGTTTCTCGATGTAATCCGACTTATATGGTCCTAAATAACACTAATTAATCGGGTACACTTTTTCACCAGTGGGGCATTTCTCGGAATCACGCCCTTTTTGACCGCACCCATATCGCGACCCCCACTATAAATTATCTCGGCTTCTGATTGAGATACAGACCTCAGGCATGAACCAAAATGTGCCCAGGATGCATGTTTATATTAGTGCTATGAAGATACTTAAGGCCTAAGAGACTTATTTTTTGAGAAATCGCCAAAAATCCGATTTTACTATATAACAGCCTCGCAAGTAACAATTATTACATTTATTTCAAGATATCATAGCTTCTGATTGGAGCTAAGCGCTCATCTTGGGCATTAAAATGGTCAGAATCATCATATTAAGTGGGGTAGAGCATGGTTTTAAAGTCTTGAGACTTCAGGTTGTTGAGTTATTAGGTCAGATCCCATTTTTATGCTCTCGCCAGTAGCGATTGATGCACTTATTTCAAGATATCTCAGCTTCTGATTGGAGCTAAGCGTTCATCTTGGACATTGAAATGGTCAGAATCATCACATTGAGTGGGGTAGAGCATAGTTTTAAAGTCTTTAGACTTCAGGTTGTTGAGTTATTAGGTCAGATCCCATTTTTACGCTCTCGCGAGTAGCGATTGATGCACTTATTTCAAGATATCTCAGCTTCTGATCGGAGCTAAGCGTTCATCTTGGGCATTGGAATGGTCAGAATCATCACATTGAGTGGGGTAGAGCATAGTTTTAAAGTCTTGAGACTTCAGGTTGTTGAGTTATTAGGTCAGATCCCATTTTTACGCTCTCGCGAGTAGCGATTGATGCACTTATTTCAAGATATCTCAGCTTCTGATTGGAGCTAAGCGTTCATCTTGGGCATTGGAATGGTCAGAATCATCACATTGAGTGTGGTAGAGCACACAGTTTTAAAGTCTTGAGACTTCAGGTTGTTGAGTTATTAGGTCAGATCCCATTTTTACGCTCTCGCAAGTAGCGATTGCCAAGAAATATCAATAAAATTTCACTAAAACCTCTAGCCCTAGGAACATTCATTACCCCACTTAATTTGATCATTCTGACCATTTTAATGCCCATGATAAGCGCTTATATAGCTTCAATCAGAAGCTGAGATATCTTGAAATAAGTGTGTCAATCGCTACTCGCGAGAGTGTAAAAATATGTTTTAACCTAATAATTCAACAACCTGAAGTCTGAAGACTTTGAAACCACGCTCTACCCCACTCAATGTGATGATTCTGACCATTTCAATGCCCAAGATGAACGCTTAGCTCCAATCAGAAGCTGAGATATCTTGAAATAAGTGCATCAATCGCTACTCGCGAGAGCGTAAAAATGGGATCTGACCTAATAACTCAACAACCTTAAGTCTCAAGACTTTAAAACTATGCTCTACCCCACTCAATGCGATGATTCTGACCATTCCAATGCCCAAGATGAACGCTTAGCTCCAATCAGAAGCTGAGATATCTTGAAATAAGTGCATCAATCGCTACTCGCGAGAGCGTAAAAATGGGATCTGACCTAATAACTCAACAACCTGAAGTTCCAAGACTTTAAAACTATGCTCTACCCCACTCAATGTGATGATTCTGACCATTTCAATGCCCAAGATGAACGCTTAGCTCCAATCAGAAGCTGAGATATCTTGAAATAAGTGCATCAATCGCTACTCGTGAGAGCATAAAAATGGGATCTGACCTAATAACTCAACAACCTGAAGTCTCAAGAATTTAAAACCATGCTCTACCCCACTCAATATGATGATTCTGACCATTTTAATGCCCAAGATGAGCGCTTAGCTCCAATCAGAAGCTGAGATATCTTGAAATAAGTGTAATAATTGTTACTGCGAGACTGTTATATAGTAAAATGGGTGCGGTCAAAAAGGGCGTGATTCCGAGAAATGCCCCACTGGTGAAAAAGTGTACCCGAGTAATTAGTGTTATTTAGGACCATTATATAGTATAGATTTCGCCACTGGCCAGTTTTAAATTATTAAGTTATTAATATTATTGATTAGATTGGGTATTAATTGTTTTGAATTCTATGTCCATTGAGCGATTCGAAAAATTGTACCATTAATTTGTTTGTAGATTTGGTTGTTAAAAGAATGGTATTACATTTGCTCGATTTCAATTAATTTCATGGCAATCTCATTTTGTTTTTGATGATAAGTACGGAAAGCTAAATGTTTGTTTGATCCTCGGTTATTTTAACATTGTGTCTGTGATAACACACTGCAAAACGGAATAGAAACTAAATTTTTTCAATCCTAGTTGATCAGTATAAAATCACATTTGTAATCCGTTCAGTAGATTTTTACCAAATGCATGTTGCATAATAATATATAATTCACATCGAGTTCAATCCATGTTTAACCGTTCTCCCATCAATTTCATGTTCTTGTACTTAGAGTTCTCTTGGAATTCTCAAATTGCTTGTTTTAATTTGTCGTGTAGATATTAAGTTAATATCAGAAAACAAAGTCGCTGGCTGTAAAATTGCCCATGCTCTATATTAATATATATAACACAAAGAAAACTGTCGATCTTCGGCTGATCTCATAATCTTAGTTCAACTCGTCGATAATAAAACCTTATCGTCAGTTCCAACTTCTAAGACAGCAAAATTTTAAGCCACTTGATGTCACACTTACATATTGAATGAATAAGAAGTTTTTCGACCTAAGTTTTGTGTTGTAGCTCAAGCACCCATCTATGAGTAATCTGTGCACTGTACGTTTGTATTGGGTTGGAATCTACTTGGCATTCACCTGGTGCTAGCCTAGTGCAACCCATTCATTGTAACGATATTCTTCTCTATAAGCAACCGCTGCACTGTATAGTGTATAATTAACCACTGTTTAAACCAGTGGCGTAACTTAGGGCCCCGCAGACCCCGCTGTGCGAGGGGGGGGGCGCCGTATAAGGGGGGTGCAATTTTCCTGAATTTTAGGCCCTTTCACTGAAAAAACGTCTTGTTTGTGTATTTCCCTGTCCAATTTAGCGTTCGGTCGACGCGAAAAAAATATTTGGGGTACCCTTTTTTGCTTCAGAGGGGCGCAAAAAGCCTTAGGGGGGCGAGAAAAAAAGTACCCGACCTTTTTTTTTTTTTTTTTTTTTTTTTCAGGGACACAAAAACTTTTAGGGGGCGCTTTTCGTCACTGAGCGGGGGGGGGGGCGCCAACAGTCAAAGTTACGCCACTGGTTTAAACTATGTACTAACAGTTCAAATAATTTGTAGTGCTACATCAAAATTAGTAGTTTCTATTTCAAATTCAATTTTCTAAAGGCAAAGTACATACCACTACCAGTTGAGAATGGAGAATGAGGAGTTGTGTTCGGGTAAAAAAGGTTGATTGCACTGATACAATCAAATCTCGCTTTAATTTGTATGCAGGGAGCAATTTGTGCTGCATAATAATTCATGCCATTTATATCATTAAAACAGTGAATAGGTATAGTAACATGGGTATTTTTCCAATCCATATCTGTTTAGAGGACATCTACTGAGGACGTCCGCCAATTTCTCGGATTTTCAGACCCCCTCCCCCTATTTTGAAGACCCCCCTCCCCCCCTAATTATGAAGACCCCCCCCCCCCCCCCCCTCACGGACGTCCTAAGTAGATTTTACTTACTAGTTATATGAACACACAGGCTTGTTACAAATTGGCCAAACGTCATCTTCAAACAAAATGGTTTATGTAAACATATATTGTGTCATCAAACTTAATCGATTCCTGAGAATATTACACAATTAAAAATTATCCTCGTCGATACTTGGTAATAACTTACAATAACTACTCTCGTTGAAGCCGTCAACGTGAAACAATGAGCAGTGAGATAAGATAAACATTTTCATTCACATGGAATTTTAGTGAACTTAACTTTTACGGTGGTGACGTAGATTTAATTCTCTTATGACATGTTCAGAAATGCGAAATTATCTTTTTTTTGTCGTACTATACACAAAGAAGCTTTGTTTTAGAATTTCGCAGAAAAGTCTCGCCTAGAAGTAGATCGTGTCTTTTAACTACTTTAATTGCAACGTATTTCAGGAACTGGCAGAGTAACCATCGCTTTATCAAATTCTTCTGACTTTGACTCGATATCATCATTTTGATTTAGAATCTCAAAGGAATTTATACTCGTCCATCTCAAAAATTATAAATCTGTCTAAGATTCATAGCATTTTGTAACGTTTCAGTTGGATTCTTAAAAATTGCGTAAACGTTCAACTTAAAGTTAAAGCAATTGGCTGATTTGAATATTTCAGTAAAAATGTTTATGTAGCGACCAGCCTATCATGAAGATAACAACAATTATCTTAACGGCTCTTTTGTGTTTACCCATTCAAGGTAAATGTTGTATTGCACCACCTTACAACAGAATCATTATTTACTGTTCTATTTAAAAGTCATTACTACTGATTGTATGCATATGATATTGACCTGAATTAATAGGCTATATGTGACAATCAAATAAATTATAGCTATAATTATAGATACTGCAAGTACTATTACTAAGTGCTAAAACATTATATAATTTATCGTGTTTATATTTCAGGTTACATTTTACCTGCAGTGAATAACGAGATAACACCTGTATCCGTCTCTATTTCATCAACGTATAGCTCTAGTTATGTGGCAACTAATGGCATAGACAGGAATTTATACACACGCGCTCATACATCATATTATGATTCTGACACCTGGTTTAAAGCTAAGCTAGGAAAGACCTACTGTGTAGAGGAGGTACACCATTACACGGAGTCTAATTATCACACTTACCCGTATAACAAGCACACATGCTCGAGAGATGTGTGTACCTGTATAAGTGGTTACTACTGCACTCACTATCCCACTCGGTGGCCCGTGTCAGTGTACTCTGAGGATGGAACAGTACCTGACAACGTTCCTTCTGATTGTAAGACTGGAGACACAGTGGTTATTAGAGGGGCCGGTTTTACTTCTTATAACCATGTCTGGGTATTTGAGATAGTTATCATCGGAAGATATATAGAGCTCATCAGTCTAGGTATAATTTTATATCATAGACCATTTTCTATCAATTATTTTCCTCGATTCTAAACATTATGACACTAAAGCTTTTTGGAATATTGCGTTCATAAAATATTGATGCACAAAATTAACTCATAAATGAATGTTATTACCCTCTCTCCAATATGAAATGCTCATGAAATACACCCGTCATACTTATAACATGTACTTTTTAAGGTAAAGTTACAAGGGCGATTTTAGCGGTGTAGATTACTTTTCCTTCGGTTGATGGCGTCAAAACACTGTCATTTCTTATCATTTTAAGTTGCTCCTATGTATCAATTTCAAAACAAACTTTTCAAATGAGATGTTGTTTTTATGATAGTTGTTAAGTGGGTAGCTACGTCTAAAGGAAAAAAATGTTTCAAACAAACTAGAAATGAAGGAAATTTCAATTTACGTCAATAAATAAATGCAATATTTAAATCATGCAAGCGATATAAATAGCACAATTTGTAAATGTACCTTTATCAAAACTTACTTCAGACGTTGAATCAGTTAACAAAGAAGTAAAGAAAGGCTCTGCAACAACAATATCCTGTGTTATCATCGGAATAACTGAAACAGTAACAGTAACTTGGCAGACTAGTACGGGACCAGTTCCAGCTGAAAAGTTCACCCCTGCCCAAGGAAGCTTCTCCGGAGGGACACAGACATCAACTCTTGCTGTAGACGGAACTCTTGTCAATGAAGATACTGCCTACACTTGCAGAATAACTTCCGGGTCTTTACCTGATTCCAGCCACTCGGATACCACCGTCAATCTTAACGTTTATGGTATGTTCTTTAAACTCCAACCGAAGTTCTTTTGCAATGTAGTTTTTTTGTATTTATACGATTTTATATATTACAATCAACTTTCAATTTAACTCCATATCATCACGACGAAATACAATTATCACACGATCATGAGCATTATAATTGCATAATTTATAAATGTACCATTACCAAAACTTACTTCAGACGTTGAATCGGTAAACAAAGAAGTAAAGAAAGGCTCTGCAACAACAATATCCTGTGTTATCATCGGAATTATTGAAACAGCAACAGTAACTTGGCGGACTAGTACGGGACCAGTTCCAGCTGAAAAGTTCACCCCTGTCCAAGGAAGCGTCTCCGGAAGGACACAGACATCAACTTTAACTGTAGACGGAACTCTTGTCATTGAAGATACTGCCTACACTTGCAGAGTTACTTCCGGTTCTTTACCTGATTCCAGCCACTCGGATACCACCGTCAATCTTAACGTTTATGGTATGTTCTCTAAACTCCAACTGAAGTTCTTTTGCAATGTAGTTTTTTTGTATTTATACGATTTTATATATTACAATCAACTTTCAATTTAACTCCATATCATCACGACAAAATACAATTATCACACGATAGTCATAATTACACAATTTGTAAATGTACCATTACCAAAACTTACTTCAGACGTTGAATCGGTAAACAAAGAAGTAAAGAAAGGCTCTGCAACAACAATATCCTGTGTTATCATCGGAATTATTGAAACAGCAACAGTAACTTGGCGGACTAGTACGGGACCAGTTCCAGCTGAAAAGTGTACCTCTGTCCAAGGAAGCTTCTCCGGTGGGACACAGACATCAACTCTTGCTGTTGACGGAACTCTTGTCAATGAAGATACTGCTTACACTTGCAGGATAACTTCCGGATCTTTACCTGATTTCAGCCACTCGGATACCACCGTCAATCTAAACGTTTATGGTATGTTCTTTAAACTCCAACTGAAGTTCTTTTGCAATGTAGTTTTTTTTGTTTTTATACGATTTTATATATTACAATCAACTTTCAATTTAAATCGTTATCATGAAGACGAAATATAATTATCACACGAGTGTTATAAATTGTAAAATTTGTCAATTTACCGTTACCAAAACTTACTTCAGACGTTGAATCGGTAAACAAAGAAGTAAAAAAAGGCTCTGCAACAACAATATCCTGTGTTATCATCGGAATTATTGAAACAGCAACAGTAACTTGGCGGACTAGTACAGGACCAGTTCCAGCTGAAAAGTTCACCCCTGTCCAAGGAAGCTTCTCCGGAGGGACACAGACATCAACTCTTGCTGTTGACGGAACTCTTGTCAATGAAGATACTGCCTACACTTGCAGAATAACTTCCGGATCTTTACCTGATTTCAGCCACTCGGATATCACCGTCAATCTTAACGTTTATGGTATGTTCTTCAACCTCAAACTGAAGTTATTTCGCAATGCAGTTTTCTTATTCCATACGATTCTCTTTCTTACAGCCAACTTTTAGTATATGTCATTATCATATCAATGAAATAATAAATATGCATATCATGCGAGCATTCTAAATTGCATAATTTGTAAATGTACCATTACCAAAACTTACTTCAGACGTTGAATCGGTAAACAAAGAAATAAAGAAAGGCTGTGCAACAACAATATCCTGTGTTATCATCGGAATTATTGAAACAGCAACAGTAACCTGGCGAACTAGTACGGGACCAGTTCCAGCTGAAAAGTTCACCCCTGCCCAAGGAAGCTTCTCTGGAGGGAGACAGACATCAACTCTTGCTGTAGACGGAACTCTTGTCAATGAAGATACTGCTTACACTTGCAGAGTAACTTCCGGTTCTTTTCCTGATTCCAGCCACTCGGATACCACCGTCAATCTTAACGTTTATGGTATGTTCTTTAAATGCCAAACAGTGTCATTACTCATTTTTCAATACAGTTATTGATTTAAGGACGAATTTGAATCTTGCACTTGCAGTTAAACATTCATCGTGGATTATGAATCATAAATTGTAGTATTTTAAATAACTGCAAATTTTTATTTATATTGGATGTATTAATTTCAGAGATAATGGTGAAAAGCTATGACGTGCTAGCAGGTACTGCATCAACGTTGACTTGTTCAATAAAAGGATCAGCTGCCAATTTGATACATATTCAGTGGGTGGACAACAAAGGAAAACTTTTCTCTCATGATTCAGACATTTCTGACTTGACTGTCAGGTAATATTTTATATTTTTCTTTATAGAGCTGCACGCCATATATGTCAATCTTTTATATTACTGGAATATACCGATTACTGAAATGATAGAATATTTGAGATCCTAATACAGATATATGATATATTGCTGTTTTATAATTTGTTGCAAAATGTAGATGTTGTCATGGATTACCGACTCTTTCAATTTATCAGCGATGGAGCACTCGTGGATGGGATGAAGGAGTCTACTATGATCCTTTTAGCTGACGTGACTTTGTTAGGCGATCAACTATTCACATGTAGGATTTCAGTAGGAGAAAAAGATCAATATGATGATACCTTGGTGGCTCTCAAAACCTTCACAGTTCGGTACGTTTAATAATGTAGTTCAAAAATCTTATTTAATATTGCGCAAATGAAAGAATGCGTAGAATTAAATAATACGTTCTTAAACTGAAATCTCCATTTGACCAATCATAATCATATTGTTGTATTAAATGTTGACCTACTCCAATTTCCCTAAATTTCCATTGAATTCAACTTCTTATTTCAGTACAACCAATGATTATGTTAGAACAGGAGACCCAGCAGTATTGAAGTGCACTGTGATCTTTCCTACCGACACATTGACAGTTGCTTGGTCACACCAAAATACTATATTTGAAGGTTAAATTCCAAGTTTTTGTGTAACTCTATGAAACACTACTTTGAGCTTGGTGCCCCCTTGGCCTTATACAAATATTGATATCAATATTATATCATATGTAACATTTTAACTTTTTTTTGCAGAGACAAGAAAAGAAACCTTACAAAATAGTACAACAACAACAATTTTACGATTAGACCCTCCCAACGAAGTTGCTTCTTACACTTGCATAGTCTTCGCCCATGGTCAAGAGTATAACTTTTACTCGGAAGTTGAAATAGAAACCGATGGTAATCTAAATCAACAGATTATAATATTTCATTCTAATTTCGAAACAATCTTACAAATCAGAGAGACTTTGCATCCTTTTTTTGTTATTAGACTTTTACTCAGTCGAGGCGTAGAATGATTTAAATGAGTCAGTTGAATTCACTATCGATTTCAAAAATGATTTATTTGACAAATAAGAGTGTAAAGAATATTTTATTGAAAATTATCTGAACGGTTTGAATTGTGAGCTATGAATTTGCATGATCAAATTTATGCACTCTTTGTTCGTGAGCGTGTTTACTTTTTATTGTGACCGTACATTTTAAACCCGACTAGGTAGTGCAGATTGTGTAGACATCTCAAGAGTTTCAATATTTGTAATAGCATCCACCAACAGGTTTAGCGCTGACACCAGAACAAGAGATAAGAGCTTTCAACGGAGCAACAGTCAACCTGAAATCTTTTTATTTCTTCTCCTCGTTTGCTGAAGGACACTTTTGGTGGAAGCACAATGACTCTCTGTGTTCGACTAAAACTTGCAGGTATTTTTATTTTACCGCGGGTTTTGCTGTACTGAAGTAGTTGTTAACCCATATCTATCAAATAACAAATAAACCGATTTGAATTTAACTACAAACATTGTTCAAATGTTTTCCTCATAGGGATATTATCAACTCTCCAAAGACCTCCGTAATCAGCATCATTGTAAGCAACTCTACAGTTGGGGCCTGGAGATCCTTTTACACAGAAACAACGAGCAGTAAGCTTAATTTTGTCAATTATATACTATTCTGTTTTTGCAGAGTGCAGCAATATGGTATAAACATTATTTCACTGAAAATAGAGATTTTCATTCGATTATATATCCCGCGTGAATATCACTCACATATCGCAGAGCGAATTCTACAGAGCAACCAAGTGATTTTGATTGGAGTGAATGTCAGTGGGACTCAATATCCCAATTCTGTGTGGGGCATTACAGGGACTGAATCAGAAGTCACCTGTTCCGTACCATTTAACATGACTAATTCTATTTTGAATAATTTGCGGTAAGTTTATGCTATGGGCTTAGACAGCCTAAAGAGTTGATTGGAAAATATTTTGTGAGTCACAATAATCTCATTTACAAATTATGGACCAAAAATTGTGGCCAGTTTTCATGCTAGTAACCAGAATTTCATGATATATCTATATATTTCACTTCTATCCAAATTAAATGTCCTGTTAAATCATAATACGATGTTTACTAAAAATGTCAAAACACGAAGGTGGAAGTTGGATGGCAAGTTTGTAAACAATAAAGGTTTTACCTATAATAAGCACCATGATGTTATCATCTTCAAAATGATGGAGAAAGTTTATGGCACTACAACGGTCCAGTGGAAAATCATAGTTGCTCACTCCGCAGCAGCTGTTGGAAATCTTTATTGCCGGGCCCAGTACAGCACTGGTAAAGAAAGAAATTCTCAATCAGGCTTCCCTTAAATTTAGTTCATTAAATATAAAAGAATTTTCAAGTGGAAACATGTCAGTTAAAGATTTATGACCTTTACGCAGAACCTCAAAGTTTTGTTAAATAAAAAACTCTCGAACCCAGGACAAATCATTGATACACCAATGAGTCATCTAAACGAAATAAGGATAGACAGCGACCTCGATTTAATAGTCCTGACTCCAGATACAGGAGCTGTGGTGACTTTTGTAACTCATGCACCTTCAGCACCGCTGTCAAGGAACTTGGATTGCTCTCTTGATCTTGTGAGTGAGAATTAATTATTTCAAACAAATTTTCTGGCATGCTTCATTTGTTCTACCATTCGTGAAGATCGTAGGTTCTAGATATAACACTGAATTCTAACTATCGATATCTCAGGTCAACCCTGTTAGTAAATCGACAGATTCAAAAATCTCAACCGATGGGTTAATCTTCACCGAAGTTTATCACATTCGCAGGTGAGAACATCTTTAGAAAGTACAAGTTAAGATTAAAATTATTTATCAATCAAAAAAATAGCTTCCATCCTACTTTCGTTTTTACGGACACAATTAACGTAAGTTGATTTAAGGCTGATGAAGTATGGGTTAATGTGATGCATTATTCCTCCCTAATTATCTCATAGGGAAGGGGGAGGAGGGTAGGAGGGGTGATTAAATCATTGATTCAATTATTTTCAGTTCTGATTCTATGATAGAAGCAGGCTCAAAAGATGATTTAGTTTCACAACATGGTACTTGTGATTACTCCGTCCGGATCCAGAATTCAGTCCAAGAATCTCTTACAGTTACAGTGAAATTCTCGTTGCTCGGCAAGTATTTCTGTGTTCCTACAGCACTCCATTATTTTGAACTTTTCTACCTAATGCTTTGGAAAATGACACAACGTCCTAAAAATGATTCCCACTCGATAATTCCATCAATAATTTAATTTTCTACACTTTCTCGATCGGTCTCTGATTATTTCCCTGCAATATTGTGTTCCATAATCAACGAAAGATTCGAATAACGAAATAAATGATATGTTGATTTGCATGATTAATAATATTATGAATACAAAATACTACTATATTGATACAATATAAAGGAATTCGAGTAATACTGATATTTATAGATGTCTTTTTTCTGGGATATCATTTGTAAACTTTCTCGTCGTTTAGGTGAAGCAGTTGTCATAACACCAGTTTTGGCAACAGTGGGACGACCAGCTATTTTGACAACTTATTTCACTGCCAGAGACTTATCCGACGTCAGGATAACATGGCAGAAAAGAAGTAAGTAAGCTTTATCTAATTTTACTTCAGTAATTATGTTCGTAGTTATATGTTAGTAATTTTTGAATGATAATACTTTTTGAATGATCAAAACTGAAAAACTTTAATAATTACTACTAGATGGAGGGTCAATAAATTGGGAAAGTCTTCCATCGGATCACCAGTGGCAGTACCGTACACTTATCTCTCCAATCGATGGTAAAGGTGTGATGTCTACCAAACTCTACATTCAGAGATTGACTTCTAACGATGTTACAGGTATAGAAATGCGATAGGTTCTCCAATAATTTAATCTTAGGATGTTATAGTTATCATTTTATTGTTTACTATGTTCGTTGTAACTTGTATCTACACAGGCACTAGTAACCTATATTATTACATCGATCTTTGAATAAACTATCTTTAGAAGTTAATAAAGTTTTAACCCAGAATGCAAAATTAAATTAAAAAATGCATTTCTATATCTGAAGTTGTCTATTTTTATTTTATTTTTCAGACTACAGAGCAGTAATTTTCCTTTCGGGTCAACAGCAAACATGTGACATGATATGCGTCAAGTCAGCTCAAGCAACAATTTCAAAAGTAAAGGCCGTTTTTGAAAGGTCGACTGCATTCTTTACAATGTCAGTCCTTGGAGACATAAAGTCATTGAGTGTATTCCTTCACTATAAAGGTTTGTACTTTGTTGTAATTTTTCAGTTACAATTCACTTTCATTGACATTTTTAAACATTTTTTAATTTGTGTGGTTCACTGTTTGAACTTCTACCAAAATATTAACAGAAGTCAGAAGGCCTAGTAGTATATAGTATAGCTGCGGCTGGCGACAACACTAAATAAATTGATAATATAGTACAGTAAAGTATAGTACAGGTAAAATAATGCATTAAACAAATTTAGAGACAGCCGGTTTATGTACAGATTTAAAAAAACAAAATACAGGTTAGTTGTGTTTTGTAACTATAGTGATATCTTTCTCAGAAGGGAATAAGGATATTCCAGTATCCCTTCCAGACTTCTCTGCAGTATCGGGTCCCTACACAATCTCACATCGTTTGGAGGACGTTTACTTTTGTGACGGTGGTCATTACAGTTTCAGGTTTTAAGTCATTCGAACTGTGCTAGCTTAGAAATTCCTTGAATGATCCATTCAACGGCGTATTGTACATTAAATCTCGATTATACATTTGATCATGAATTCTTTTGCCGTCAAGAAACTTTCTGAATTGGGTTCAAACTTCATCTTCCACTTCAGTCATGGTCCAAATTAACGTCGTCTGTTGTTGGCTAGTAGTAGTGGCTACATTAATTAGTATTACAAATGTATTCAAATTGAATGACCCATCATATCACTATCAGGATCAAGTTGGAGACTGGATTCGAATTCAGTACTGACGAGACGAACCTAAAGATCAAACTACGCTGTAAACCACCTCGTACGCCTCCGAATACACTTTTGAAAAAGGTCAGTTTTATACAGATGTAATATTATGTACAAAGCTCAGTTTAAAACTTGAATATAAATATGTTCTTCTTCCCGAGTTGATTAGTCCATTTTTTATACATACTCAGTGAGTCAAGGATGTCATTTTCAGGTTGAAATTGCTGAATCCGACGACTACAAATATGTCGTCACGTGTATCAACGAAGACCTTGTCTTAATGAACGAGAACGCGAAGGAAGTGATCTGCAACACATCTACTGGCTCATATCACACTAAGATTGATTTTAGTCCTTGTCTAAGAGTCATTGAACAAATTTACCCTTGAGCATTGACTCTGTGAAACATAAACTGGGATTGAAAGGTTCAAATCATAGATCATATTTTTATTCTTGTTTTGATGTTGGAGCCAATTTTATTCTTGAGGTAGTTTTTATCATAAAACTCTCAAAACAATGTTGGGCGGCGCCCAGCCTGCCATTAGCCTTATCTTCAATTGGTCCTCATGTGCTCATGAACACAAAAGCCTGAGGTTTCCACTTCTCAGGTAATCATTACCTGAGGACCCCAGGCTATTATGTTCATTAACATATGATTTGAATAAAGATTTGGCGGAATGACAGGCTGAGCGCGGCCCAGTAAAGGTAATCAAAACAATTGCAATCCACAATCTAACATCAAACACCCTGGTACAATATTTTGAAACTTAATCAATCCTGCTATGTGTTATGATGGCAAATTATTTTATATTTGTGATTGGTTTAACAGACAGAACTGTACTTTTTTATTTAACGGGTGATACTCGTAGAATATTTTTTCACAGACCGTCGACAAGTCCAACTCGGCGCGCGTCTTGGTAATGGTTGGTTATAAACCTACAATTTTGTAAAACAAGTAAACTACTACTACTAGAACCATGTTTTCTGCTTTATTTTTGTTTTGTGCGTTGTTTAATTGTTTAGTTGTTTAGTTATTTAGTTCAGGTTCAACTGAAAGTTTTGTAAATTACAATTTTAAGTTTTACTGTATTACTTGATTAAAATTATAACTTTTTCCAACAAAAAGTTGTTATTTCTCTGCTGAATAAATTAAACTGAGTGTGCTAAATCAGTCTACACTGATCGATCTTCGAGATTTTTCTAAAAGAGCCCCCGACAGTTGAAACCTATTTGAATCGATGTATTTTCGGACGCTGATTCCGAAAATCACCCCCATGACATAATACCATTACTAATTGGGTTAACATTTTTAACCAAATTAAGCTGTCGATGATTGAAATAATGAAATTTATTTCTATATTTAACTAATAAATTAACTAACTTAACTTTTTAATTAACCTATATTATTATTAAATCTATTAGTTAGTAACCAGTATCTGTACAGGCTCCAAGTCTCCGCCATCCTCCCCTATCGATATGAGACTGGCCATGTTCACCGGAGAAACGTCCCCTAAACCTGAACCCCGCTCTGACATTGCTAGATTCGACAAATCTGTGCTTCAGGTGAGATATTAGTTACTTAATCTAAGAGTTAATGGTGATTCACGGTGTGATTTATTGATTATGTTAAAATCTGGCTCCTGATACGAATTCTTAAATTAATTATTGATAATAATTTTATTTAACGTTCGAAAATAATGAGAGTTGAGTGGTAAGTAAGTGTAGGTTCAAAAAGTATCGAGGACTTTAAACCTTTAATCAAGAGATCACTTTAAAATGAGGTCTCTGTCAGCCTTTCGGGGGAAATTTTCACCTACTTAAAACCAATAACCTGTATAATAGACAAAAAGGCTTTCAACAGAGAACTCGAGAAATAAACAAATAGTACAGAAAAAATTAGTTTCAAAAATATAAACTGAATGATCACGTTTAGACTTAGCAGCCATCTGACAGCTTGTCAAACGTAACAGTTACCTCCTCAACTCCCAGTCTAGGTTCCCCTGTATAACTTGAATAGGAATCCCTACATAACCTGCTCAGTACTTTAAGTCTCTATTAGTTATTACTGGTTAGTTAGTTATTAGATTTATTGTGTATTATCCTGTTAGGATGGAACAATTAGTGAGTTCTCCACGGCAATGAAAGCCTAGGTTTCTATCTTATTCTGAAGACAAATTTTAAAGTTTTGAACATTGAGCTATTCTGTAAATCACGTTAATCTGCGCATGAAACTGTTTATGTCTCTTTATTGAGAGTTGCATCGAAGTCTGGTATCCATATACAGTATGAACTATAAATACTGAATATTAACTGAATAGAATTGTTCTATATGTTAAAGAAACTCCTGTAGGTTTTTAAAAGCTTTAAACGACTTGTCTTTTCGTGCCATGCCCTAGACATCACATTCGATAAGCGTTCCTTACCTTATGAGACATATTTATGTTCGACTTAATTCCGGTGACCTAAATGATTTGGGAACGAAAATATGGGAATTTTTACCGAAACATTTCGTACCCCAAATTAAATCATGGTAGTTGGGGATTTTTTTTCGTCTCCTCAATTTTACAAAAATGAAACCCAATATTTGAGAAATTAAATACAACAATCTTCTCTGATCAGCTGTTCCATCTTGTAAAAAATTTCTCCGGAGCCTTTGAAAGTTAGCCTCAAAATAACTTATAATCTTCCAGAGGATATAGGAGACCGACAGTGTTATCTTCCACTAATCCCGAAATTTCACCGCCGTGGCCAATAAAGTAGTGACAGAGCTTGCTTATTTTTAATGGAACGTGTCCAAAATCATTTTTAAAGCAATTCATGATCGAATACTAGTGTTCATTAATTGTTTGATGAATCATGTTTAGAACTTACTATATTGATATATCCCCCTCCCCCTCCCCCTCCCCCTCCCCCTCCCCCTCCCCCTCCCCCTCCCCCTCCCCCTCCCCCTCCCCCTCCCCCTCCCCCTCCCCCTCCCCCTCCCCCTCCCCCTCCCCCTCCCCCTCCCCCTCCCCCTCCCCCTCCCCCTCCCCCCTCCCCCCCCTCCTAAAGACCTGATAAGTCTACTTAAAAGACTTGTAGAACTGAAAACTTACTATAAATACAAAAAATGGAACTTAAAACTGAACTTATCAAAATCAAAAATTATGCAAAAAATTGAACTTAAAACTGAAATTATCGAACTAATCAAATTTAAAATAAATTTCTCCACAATTGGCGGTTCGAGGCTAAATACCTTAAGTCTGTCAAGTCGTCACTATTATTCAAATTAAAAATATCCATGCCATTCCACTGTGGAATTCCGACAGATTGGAATCCGGAGGGCGAACTGAATTCCGACTCGGGAACTAATTTGAATAATAAATTGGGATATATATTTAAAATTTAATTGGTTTGGTAGATGAGAACTAAGATATATCTGAAAAAGTATGTTAATGTATAGGTACAAAGAAACAGTTACAATAATTTTAGTAAAAACATAATCGGTTATGTTTGAGTTAGGTACTATAATTTTAACATAATCGGTTATGTTAGGTACTGAATCTGTATGCTAATTTAGTTCAATCTAGAACAAAACAAATATTCAAAATAACACTACAAACATAAATATAATTTATAAAACAGTGACTAAGTTTACCACTTTTTAATATTATATGTGCTGTCCAGGTAAATATCTAGAGATGAGTCCGAATTGAGATGAGTTTTGACGTAAAGTTTTCTGAGTCGAGGATCCTTATGAACACATGGCAGTCCTTCTAACAATACCTTGTCATTTATTGCATCGTAGTACCGGTCATGTCCTTTTATGTAGACATGGTAATCTCTAGATTCGTTGTACACCCATAAACTCGGCCTGATCGTAAAATCTATAGAGGATTGAATTTTTACTATCATGACCATTTCAGTAGCGACTAAATTTCCAACATCATTTCCAATATCTCTGTGCAATGTTTGGTGCTGTGTCACTTTTCCTGTAACATGATCGAAATTTGTTAAAGTCCCATCCGGAGGAACCCCCTCTGGATAAACGGCGACAACACGGCAGTCTCTTTCACTTGAACTTTGTCCTTCCCCCGTTTCAGGCCCCTTCTGTGCCTCAGTACCGAACTTTCTGCAGCACTGTTTGTGGCTTTTCCAGTCCTTGTTCTGACATTGCACATTACAATACCAAGCTGATTTACAGGCGCTACATTTCAGTAAATCTGGTCCTTTTTTGTCACAGGAGCCGCAAGCTTTCCTAACCAAATCGCTCATTCTGCAAAATATTTGTAAAACTAAAAAACTAAATTGATATCTAATCTGGTTTACGTTATAAGTGAACAATCCCGAAAACATCTTTCAAATTCTATGTGATACTTGATATACTTAAGTCGATCCTAACTAACATTAACCAAGAAAAGAGAACAGAAACAACATAGAACAATTTAAAAATAGGAAAGTATCCCTGTTTGGCTGGCAGAACCAATTGGTTTGGTATATGAAACCTAAGATATTATGTCTGAAGGAAGTATGTATACTGAATAAGTCCAATGAAAACAATTGCTGAATAAAATACGATGTTAAAGGTTTGAAGAACGTGTAACTAGCCACTATATAACAAATCGTGTCGCAATGTTACTTGGTAACATTTATTGCTGGAAACAGGTTATCATCAGGTGACACACAAAGGAGTACGAAGGTATTATCTGTTATAGATATAATTATGCCTGAACAACACTCTACGTTATGAAAGAATTTGGTAATATGATGCGCTTAATATCTTAGTTCCCAAAACATTTGTTTGTCAAAACATTTGGGTTAATAATTTGAGTTCCTACAATTTGGGCAAGAAATTCGGACTTTTTGGGGCGACGAAAACGTTTGGCATTCATTTTTTAGAGACGAGGTAATTTTGCTCCCTAATAAGTAATATTTTATCAGTTTTGGAAATTATAAAATTATCATGCTGAAACCAAATAGGCAATATTGACTTACTGACTTACTGACTTAAGTCGGCTTCTTGGTCCGAGCAACTACAATTCCTCGCCACACGTCGCGGTCAAGCATAACAGATCTTATCTCTTCAACACAGGAAAGGCTGGTGTCCTTCTTTAGCATGTCCAGAAACGTAAGGTGGGGCCTCCCCGGTCTCCTGTATCCATGCTGAGGGTCCCAGAACAGAAGTTGGTTTGCCAGAAGGTCGTCATGCCTGGCTACATGTCCAGCCAGTCTCATTCTTCTGGAGGCTATCATCGCTGATGGCTTGGGGATGTTGCCGTATAAATCACTGTTGTTGATGATTTGTGGCCAACGTATGTTCAAGGCCATCCGGAGCATTCTAGTGTAGCATCCATTGATCCGCTTAGTCATGGATTGGCTTATCGTCCAAGCTTCAGAGCCGTACAGGAGTACGGGCTCAACCGTTGCTCGAAAGACACGGATCTTTAAGTCCCTGCGCATTCTAGACTTCCAGGTTGTCTTTAACTGATGACAGGCCCCCCATGCCTTTGCTTTCCTAACATCAAAGTCCTTCTCCGCACTCATTATTCTGCTTCCAAGGTAGACAAAGTCATCTACTTGCTCTATCTCCTGCTCACTTGCTGCTTTAATGACGGTAGAGTCAGACTCAGAGAGATTGACTCTGATGTACTTCGTCTTACTCTCGTTGAGGTGAAGTCCAACGGAGTTAGCAGCCAGCTCCACACTGAGGAGAAGATCTTGCGCTTGCTCTGCGGTGTCTGTTGCCAGTGCAAGATCGTCAGCAAAGTCGACATCTGTCATCTTAACTGCTGGGTATCTCCTGCTTCTTCTGGGGTTGACAGTGAAGCCCAGATCTTTGCCTCTAAGTGCTGTTGTCATCACATAGTCAATGACAATCACGAAGAGGTAGGGCGCCAGTGTATCTCCCTGCATAACTCCAGCAAGTATAAGAAAAGCTTCAGTCAGACCATCCTCCGTGATGACTCGTGCCATGGTGTCCTTGGGGGGGGGGGGGGGGGGCCAAGTGGATATTTGTAGATATTTGGATAATGTCATCCACTTTTTTCGTGAATTATCCATACAATAATCTACAAATATCTACGTTTATCTACAAAAAATGTATAACTCAAATATGTGCCCAGAAATTCTACGTACTGAATTTTTGGAGATAAATGTATAAATTTGTAGAATTTGTAGAATTTTCGTGAATTATCCATTGACAATAATCTACAAATATCTACATTTATCTACAAAAAATGTAATCTCAAATATGTGCCCAGAAATTCTACTGAATTTTTGGAGATAAATGTATAAATTTGTAGAATGTCATCCACTTTTTTCGTGGATTATCCATTCTACATTAATCTACAAATATCTACAAATATCCACTTGGCTCCCCCCTGTCCTTGTACATAGCATCTATCAGCCTAACAATGGGCTCTGGTATCCCATATGCCAGGAGTATCTTCATCAATATACCCCTATGAATGCTATCAAAGGCCTTCTTAAAATCGATGAACAAGATAAGGGCGGTCAGGTTTTTGTCTCTAGCCCCCTCCAAGATCCTCCTTAGACACAGAATGTGGCTGGTGGTACTGCGTCCCTCCCGAAATCCGTTTTGGTTGATCCTCAGGATTTTCTCCATCGCTGGTTTGATTCTGTTAAGGATCATACGATTCAGGGTCTTACTAACAATGGACGTAAGAGCGATTCCTCTGTAGTTATCCACTTTAGTTAGATTTCCTTTCTTTGGCACAGGCACGATGTTGAGTTGCCGCCATTGATCAGGGATTTTTCCATCAACCAGAGCGCTGTTACAGAACTCTAGAATCAGGTCGTCCATGTCCACTCTTTTGAGAATCTCTGGAGCTATGCCATCATCACCATAGGCCTTACCCTCCTTGATCTGCTTCCTCGCCTCCGCTAACTCCTCCCTGCAAAACAGACCAGTCTCTATATCAATATTAGCTTATCTTATTTAGATTTATTAGTGTTGAAGGCAGTAAAACAACTGGCATTGATGGCAGTAGATGGCCAACTTATTGATTTTAGGCATATGCGAATATATTTTACCCGTGCAATTCTCAAGGCAGGATAACTCGTTGATTCCTTCCATTTTCCATATCAAACCACAAACATTGGTCGAATATGCTGACCAGCATACAGTTCTTTGATAAAATCCTTCTTCCCTATATTATTGAGTCTGTTCGATAAACCTGACTAGAAAGCACTATTTATATGGGGTGTATTTCGGGCTCGACAGTCAACACACAGAATTCATAAAAGATGTGATGGGGGCGAATAGAAAGTTCTGGCTAAAATGACACTACACTTCCAACCACTCTACGTAACCATTAATGGTATTGCTTCAAATGCGTAGCAAATACGAAACTGTAATTATTTATCTGTTTCAGGAGTGAGTCCCTCTATTCACTATAACTTTTTTATCTAAGATTTTTGATTTTATTAGGTTCGTGAATCGTTAGTTTTAAGATAAATAAATGGATAGATTTATTAATTTTTATCCGTCTTATTTTATTGTCATACAGATAAAGCACTCTAATTACACAAATAGGAGAAGAAGTTACAGACTTCGACAGAAACATTATATGCCAGCTATTGCGTATTGTAAATTTAAGCTTTCCAATAGAAGTGAAACATTTTTCAAGTAATATTCAGATTTTCATTGTTCCTTTGAGCTCACTAATTCGTGAGTCATACTCATTGTGAAAATGTTTTCTATCCGAAATTCTCGGTTAGTGTAGCATATTGAAAAATAGAGCGCTCTAAATTTCTCAATAACAGAAGAAGCTACAGAATACAGAAACATTATGCTATTGCGTATGATAAATTTGAAATGAAAGCGAAAAGTTTTTGGATTATCGTAAATAAATTTCAGTTTTTCAGTTTTTCTTTGAACATCCTAATTCCGGAAATAAACATGGATTGTTAAGATAAATTCTATTAAACTGAGCTAGTACTGTATGCTAAACGTGGGTAGAATATTGAATGGTCGGAGGGTATTATAAATATAATTATGTTGTGGTTGAGTAGATATACAGATCCTCACGGTGAACTACTATTATTATGTCACGTATAGCTAAGTTATGTTTCCAGGTACCGGTGTCCCAGCTGAAGAATAACTTCTCGGCAGTTTGTGATCTGGTGTCCGCGATACAGTCCTTCTCCGTCCACCACCTTCACTACGCTCCCAACATCGCTGCTAGTGGTAATTTACCATCTCTACCTAGAATAGTCCTTCTTAATGACAACTTTCTTATTTATTATAGACATTATTCGGAATATGTATTATTTGTTTTCCAGTAACACCAACCACAGTTGACCAATAAATTATAGATCTTAACCAATATTTGTGAACAGTTGACCAATAATAAATCACATAATATAACCCCCCTGTCTTCAGACGCATTTGTGTGGCTCGTAGAACCGGGACATGTGAACCACCTCTCTTCCACTGAACGGCACTTTACTGGACTCCTAGCTGAGATTGAGAGAGCTGTTGAAGCCCTGATGGCCAGAAAACAGTTTGTGTGAAGGAACCAACTTGTTCTCTAGTGAAATGAGATTGGGACTTAATTCTGTGTCGTTCCTTCCGAGACTGGGTTTGTTATTTCGATACCACCGATTAAAATGTGAATTTTATCTATGTACCGTATTTCGGTAATAATTTGGCTGTTATTGGTTTTTCTGAGCCTTTAAAACGGCTTTGTTACAACCGATTACGTCCCTTGGTTATCATCGATTTAATACATGGAAACAAGTTAATAAACCCGTAGAACCGTAATCGTATCAGTGGCGTAATTCAAACACCGTTTGTGCTACCCAAGTAACACAGGAGTTCAAGATTGGAAAACATGCGGGCCCTTAGCCTTAGGAAATCGTAGACAAGTAACAAGGAAGCTACGGCATGATTTCTTTTTCGGTGCTGTTTGATTTCAATATTAGCTAATTTTTCTGGACACTCAGCGCATGACTTACGCCATTGAATATTACAGCTTATTTCATTTTTAATTAAATTTTGTTAATAGTTATACTTAAATGGTTTTTACAATTTTCTACGGACTGTATGAGACTTTTTATCGATTTATACTATTGTTGTCCTGATAATTATTACTTCAGTTTCCTTTTTACTTAGCAAAGTGAAGTTTTTACGGGGGCCACCAAATTTCAGACATGATTGCGACTTTTTCGACATAATGTTAATTTGCTGGCCAGATATTACTATCGAATATAATTTACTAGAAACCCGCTACAGTACTAGTCGAAAGCTTTGTTTAAAAAAAGTTATGTTTTAATTTCTCTTCCTCATCTAGCACTGTTGTACTGTAGAAATTAAGGATTTTATTTGACAATAACGACTATTTTGTAAGTATTTGGATTCTCTAAACGACAAGTTTTCAAAATAGCAATCACAATATCAATCACAACCAAAGTTATGAATAATCATAGTATACTTATAGCGTGAGCGTAAATGTTAGATAGTCATGTAGTTTTGGTAACATTGTAGTGTTTTTATGACTATGTCCCCGCGTTGCCAAGGAGATTTCGTCAAGTTTAAAGTATAATGGCACATGAATTGTACTGCCACTGGTGAGGGTATGAATCAACGGAGGGTTACAATGGCCTTCAGACATTTTACCAGGAACATGAAATGCTACGTTCATGTCACTGATGATTATAACAGGTTCAGAGAGTCAGAGAGAAATTAAATCTATACAGTGTTCTGCAGTAATTGGATGATTTTAGCTTATAATTAATTACGGTCAAATTAATTAGAGAGTTTGTTGATTTCGGGTAGGTTAACTTAAACTAGTTAAACACTTACAAGCTTAGGTAATATCTTTCATTAAAACTATTTTAAACAAATGATAATTCTTCAGCAATTCTAAGCCGGAAATAATGATGAAATGCTCTGTGACATGTACACGAGAACGAACAAACAACGTAAATATATACGATGGCGAAACTAATCAGCTGTTTGCTCGTATGAGCGGTAATAAGCACGGCTTGATCCGCCTCTCAATTGAGCCTGACATTGACGTGGCCTTCATGACAGCACTTGCTTTGATGTGAGATGTTGCCCTTAGGAATTGGGGTTAAACGGACCCTGATCTTCGTCATTAAATAATGGTGATGATTAAAAATACCTCAACGATGTGGAATCGGGGGACTATAAATAATTAGTACAAAATGGACTTGATCTGATAATGTGATATCTTTACCAAAATATATTGTACTGTACTATGTATTTTGGTAAAAATATCAGTATTAAAATATTAAGTTTATTTGAGCTTTAATTGTAAGTCGACTTCGCTTGTCGACTTCCCTAGTGCTTACACCATTGTACTTGAACGATAAACAGTTTTTTTTCAGGTCTGTTCATATATAATTATATATTATATATCATGTTACAATTATTTAAATTTAATACAAATAGTCATCTGTGAGTAAAACTAAAAGAATTTTGTTGGATTCAGAGTCACAATTTAAGCTTTTCAATGACAAATTAGCTAACACTAGCAGCGTACCCGTCCTCCGGACGACAATAATTCTTTACTTTCACTGACACCACGTTTTCGCTTTCTAAATTTATTGGGTGACCCAAATGAGTCAAATTTAAAGACAGGATTTTCAAATATTAGAATTAGCATTAGAATCAAATTTACACGGCAATACGATAAAAATAGTAAATAATTTAAAGATTCTTCGATCTGCTGATTCAGCATCTGCCAGTTCTAAATCGTATTTTTGTTTCGATTGGCCCCCATGTGCAAAAAACAGCACACTACTTTGGAGTCGAAACAATATTGTACTGCAGTAAGTGCATAGTTTTACATGCATTGAAAATCTTATCAGCTATGTATAAAAAGATAAAATTCAATAATTAGCGACGGCACATTTCCAAGTATAGTAGTATCTGTAGTTTGTAAATAGATATTGGTTTTTATATGTTATACTCATTTGTATCTGCTAATTTAAGAGTTAGAGAAACTACTGTAAATACTGAAATAATTATTACCTATTTAAATCGCGTTTTTGACACCACTTGGAAATCCAAATTTTGGGCACTAAAATTCTTGTTCCGTGGCAAATTTTTTATTTTTTCATGCTGATTTGAAAAGCATAAAAGCATTTAACCCGGTCAAAAAAGTTTAAGTTGTATCTCTTTTACGGTTTTTGCGGAAAGTCGCGTTAAAGTTGATGCCGTGGTGTCAGTAAAATGGCACGGATAAACACATATATATCGTCTCGCTTTATTTATAGTAAGATGAACAAATTAATGAAGAAAATCTAAAAACTACGCTACTGATAGTGATACATTATTGGCGAACAATTTTATCGAATGAACGAGAGGTCTCCAAATTTGTTCATGATCAATGATCTCCGGAGACCATACCCTACAGCAATTATAAATGATTAATAACGTTCTCAAACCGTTCTTATGTTATCAACAGTGATCACTTGTTCGCCATTTTTGGGACACCCAGTATCAAATAAAACCAGTCTTTCGTTACACTTACAAAATTCATTCACACAGTCAAATTTCTGCATTATCGTCTGAATTAGCTGGAAACTCATTTTTGCTTACACTTTCAGACGTTCGATCATCGTTGGAGGCGGCGGCGTTTTCATAAATGTTGTCAGCTTGGTTTGGGACGGCACTGGCGCTGATCGTCATTGCCTGAGTTAACGGGGCTACTGATCTACCGGCGGCAGCGGCGGCGAAAGATATTGTAGAGGTCCTCCTCTCCTCTTGGAGCCCAACCTTAACCAGCCAGTGAGACGTGACCTGGTCGTTGAGCACTATGTAGAACAGGAATACAAATATGCCCTGAAAGTTTACATGGATAATTATCTCCGTTTGTAGTGCAATTAACCATTTTTCGTCTTTAATTTTCATAATGATGATATACTTGTGTAGTGGGTATCGATATTATCAATTATGATACTTTAAAGATAACATCTAATTCGGAAGAAGGATAAAGAAGGCTGTAGAAAACACGCGCATACCTGAGAACTATTAAGAAGAATGAACAGATACTGCATCCCCGCTTGGAAGTGAGGGGCTGGGAGGGACATGAATATTCCAAAGAACCAGCCTGTTCCAAGCAAGACCATCACACCGACTGCTGATTTAAGCTGCCGCTGAAGTTAGTTTAAGAATTTTTGCGATATTAAAATGAAGCATATGAAAAGTAAAACAAACCAGACAACAGGCCAGATGATAAACAATTCTTCGATCATATTGAAAGACGCTAAATATTATCAACCTTAGAACTCACTAAAATTTGTCCCCGATCAGAGATGTTGCCGGATGAGTTTGAGTTCTTATTAATCACTTTGGCAACCAGTGCGAAGAATACAAGGTTCACCAAGATAACCAAGACAATGGGGGCTAGGAAGAGAGTGTAGAAGGATGTACTTTCAGGTCGGATAAAGCACATAGTGTCCGCTAGGTACCCGTGTTCTGTGAAAGTGAAGCTACCTACGGTGTGCCGCTTCGTGAAGACGAAATATCCGATGAATGGTATCGGTAGAGGGATACCTAGAATATGGTCAGGTAATTTGTATGATAAGAGTATATAATTATACTCTTCTTATTTGAAAAACAATCGAATAACCAAGATTATGCAAGTGCTCAGATAGAGAAAATATAAGATTGAATAATAATATTATAATAACATACCCCATGCCGCGAGGTTAAACTTCAGCATACACTTTGAGATATGAGATCCGAACACTTGTACGAGAGAAAGGTACATAAGGAACCCTTCGACGACCATCCAGGCGAAGACCACAAGCCATAAGTAATGCTGGATCATCGCGTACACGGCACATCCCGTCGACTTCTGAAACGGGTGGTGGTTGATGAGTCGGGCAGTATTCGAAAAGGTCTGACAACTGGATTAGCAGCTGGACTCCTATAATATTATCTGTCAGCACAACTTATAGTTATCATCTAACCTCTAAATATAACTCAAGCTTACCAGTTTTATGACTCCGGTATCATCAGCAGAAATGAAAGCGTCTTGGATGAGGAACATCAATGACGCCAACAAAAGTGCGGTGGTGAAACAGATGTTGATCTTAGCGGATCGAGTTGATCGAAGAGCTTTAGCAGGAAGTAGGAACACCAGAGTTAAGATGAGACTGACGATTGAAATTCCGAGTAGTACATACGTTAAGTAACTCTGTACTTCGGCAAACCCACGATCAATCTCGTAAGCTGACTGAAAACATTTGGTGAAGGAGTGTTTCAAGCTGGGAGATATTACTATAAGTAAGACGAGTTTGAGGCCAGTATTACATAAAACAAAACGAGTTATGTATCATGATGGTTATAAATTTCCTTCCACAGAATGCTCACCATGAGGACAGCAAAGCTGGTGTTGTGAGAGCACAAACAGAGCACCCCTTCTGATGGCTTGGCAGAGTTGTAGATGGTCTCGCAACCCTCCTTCCACTTTGCTTTAACAGGGTCGTATTTTGCGCAGATGTACGAAACTTGCATTCTTTTACCGTTAGGTTCCATGATGAGGCTTGAGCTGGTGTTGCCCTGAAGGTTGTAGAGGATTAGAAAATATACGTACAAAGGAATTATTTACTGATAGGATGTATACTTATATTTTTTGAGTAAAGAGGTGTTAACTGTAAACTGTAAATATCTCTGTTATGCTTGCCAGCACTGTGGTACTAGATGCGCACGCAACATCCGCATAAAGTTTGCACGTGCGAAACGTAAGAAATTGTCTCATTCATGATTTCGATTACTTTTTGCTTTCCGACGAAAATTGTCTGATATCGTCCAGAATCTTATTTGCCACAGTGTAAAATTAAAATTTAAGTATAATTATCGTATTTAAATAACTCACTATATTAATGGTGGGCTTCATGAAGACATTTAGCTTGAAGTCATCAGGTACTGCGTTTTGAACTTTGACCTCAGTGATGAAAGAGTTAACAAAGCTCTTTTTGGTGTCCTCGCCATCTTTCTTGGTTGCGTCCTCCAAATCATTCTTCAGGTCATCAATGATTTTAGTGACGGCTTCCTTGTCGTCTTCGTCTTCCTCTTTTGTCACGATTGAAGTCGTCCTGTCGGGCATAAGTGTCGAGTCTGTGATGAGGACCACGGCCATGTCCACATCTACATTCTTTTCTCCCACCTTTGTCTCAATCTGAATAAA